GTATTGCTGGGATTTGTAGTCCTCTATAGCTGATGGTAGTCATTATTGCTGGGATTTATAGTCCGCTATAGCTGATGGTATTCTGCATTGTTGTGTAATGTATTGCTGGGAATTGTAGTTCTCTAAAGCCAATGCCATTCTGCAATGCTGTACAATGTATTTCTGAGTTAGTGGCAGAACTACCAGGGTCGCAGCAGTCATGCACAGCCCTGACGAGGCATCCCTCCACTACCAGTGTGCTTTACATTTCCTAAACCGATAAATACATTCACACTACTGTTACATGGATGGCAAAAGTGGCAGACGGGCGGGGAGAAGGCGGGGGAAGAGGCAAAGCGGGAGGGGGGGTCAAGTTGGCGCACCATGGGCCTCTGGGTTGTACTTGCCCCCTGGGCTAAAAGTTGCCAGTCAGCCCCTGAGTTCAGCTATGTTGTCCTAGATTGTTCACTTCTCCAAACTCTTCACCCTTTTGTGAATAACCCTGTATATATTTGGTTTGCTTTTGAGTTTTGAGCATGACACATCTTTGATGGGGGACTTGCCTGTAAAGTGCATCTGTAGTTTAGGAACAGTGTTAAGCCACATGAAATGGTAGGCAATGCCCCTCATATATTCAGTTAGAAAAGTGTATTCTGCTGATGTATGTTTTACCCAACTCCCCAGTAAGTCCTAGCTCAAGCTCCACCCTAAAGAAAACCTTTTATATATACAGTATAAAAAATATGTTTGACAAATGTATCTAATGTTTGTAAAGAGATCATTCAACCTGGTCTCTGTTTGAAATAACAGTGCACAAAAAATAATATATTTCTCAAACAATAAAATAACATATGAAAGGTGCAACATTGCATAAAAGAAAAGGAAAAAAAGGCTACATTATAAAAGAAGCTATAAAGTAAAATGAGAGAGAGTTGTATGATATAACTTTTTTATTAGGGTATATTAGGACAAACCTCAACCATGTACATTACAGTACATCACCTAAGAATGAACCAGAATCCTCAAAGAGCCTGAGCTGTGTCTAACTGCTGCCACATTTAGAGAGAGCATCTTCAAGTATGTAATCAACTCATCACTTAATCATGATTTGATCAAGCCTCATTTGACTTGCTCCAGAGGGAAAGTAGGGAGGACCACATTTGTAGAATATGTTCAAAGACCATTTATGGGAACATGGGCAATATTGAAGGCATAATTAAAGATGTCAAGCATTGTAAACCTACTGGGGCTGATGTATTAAAGGAGCAGAGTATGTTAACTTTACTGTGTGTTCATTTTGAAAAGTAAATGCTCACTTAGCTTTGTAAATAAGGTGAAGCTATGTTCAGTTTGCATACCCAGCCCTGTGCAAAGGAAGTTAAAAAAAATGGAGAAATGCTTATACAGGAATGGATGACTGAAGTTAACTGAACACAGTTTCACATTGCTCATTAAACTATATTTTAAACTTTTACATTGCAAAGTGAACACACTAACATTCTGAATATCTTCTAGAAGTGTTCTTTAGTGATCTCTTAAATCCAAATAAATGCATTTAAGTATCCTATTAACAAAAATGTATATTATTTGTGTATCGCTTGGCTGTAGATCCTCCAATCAAATCTGAATTGGTGCGGACACTGCCCTTCCTTCTGGAGGGTGGTTAATTTTGTTCCCCATAAGGCAAGCATAAAGATTTTAAGACATTGAAAAGGGCCAAATTGTGATGGCTAGATGGCTGGGTCAGAACAACTTCAAAACAGCTCTAGTGGGATGTTCTCAGTCTGCAGTGGCCCTACAAAAGTGATCCAAAGAAGAAAAACCGGTGAACCGGTGACAGGGTCATGGGTGCCAAGGCTCACTGATGCACGTGGAGAGCGAAGGCTGGCCGTGTAGTCAAATCCAATAGAAGAGCTACTATAGCTCAAATTGCTAAATAAGATAATGCTGGTTCTGATACACAAGAACACACAGTACATCGTAGTTTGTTGCATATGGGGCTGTGTAGCCGCAGACCAGTCAGGGTGTCCATGCTGACCTGTAACCACCGCCAAGAGCCCCTACAATGGACAAGAGAGCATCAGAAATGAATCACGGAGCAATGGAAGTAGGTGAAAAATAAAAATAGCAATGCGCTTCACAAACTCAAAAAATATTCCTAAAATGTGAGAAAAAGGTGACAATATTGTGAAATTGTCACCTGTGTTGCACAATGCCTGTGCTGATGATAGTAAGAAAAAACTCTTAGGTGGGCGGATCTATGCGAGCATTGCAATCATAGAGACAGGAGCTCCAGTGGACACAATCCATGTGCAATTGCCTTATTTTAATTGTAAGTGCATTTGAATCGTTTAAATAAATTTATTCGGACATACTACACTATGGGAAGCCTTTTTTTCTCTCTCTAAGCACAAGAGAAGGTGGAAGATGGAGGAATAGTTTTACACGGAATATGGTGAGCAATAGGAGTCAGTGAGTGCGGCCAGATCTTATCTCTGAGTATGGTGGAGAGCACTGATTCACTAATTGTTCATGCATTCACGGAAGTAATGGACTACACATATGGATATGTAGATTAGGGGGGAGTTGTACATCACTTGTGAGATTTAACACAGGATTTTCTATATGTACACATTTTATGAGATGTACTAGCACATCATTTTTTTTTTTTCTATCTTTATTATGGTTTATAGTGTCTAGACCAGGGGTGCCCATTAGGTAGATTGTGATCTACCAGTAGCTCTCTAAGCTGATGCTGGTAGATCACGAAGGGTGTGAATGGTGGCCCCTTTATTCCATTTTGGTATATTGATTTAGCTGTGCACACATGATTACCTATTAGCCTGGGTCTGCTGAGACAAGCTCCCTGACACCTTTCTGGTGGATACTGGTGGTTGAAGTGCTATGTATTACATCAAAGAATATTAGTTTACACAGCCTGTTGCTCTACACTGTTTGCAAAATACAGCAAGGTGAGCCAGGAGAGAGAGCGGGGAGAGCCAGCCGGGAAAGAGAGAGGAGAGACAGCCAGGGGAGAGAGCAAGGAGAGACAGCCAAGAGAGTGAAGAGAGACAGCCAGGAGAGAAAACGAGGAATGTCCGCCAGGAGAGAATACGAGGAATGTCAGCCAGAGAGAGAGCGAGGTAGAGGAAAGACAGCCAGGAGGAGGAGCAGGGAGAGACAGCCAGGAGAGACAGCAAGGGGAGACAGCACCCCTGGTCTAGACCATTAGACCTAGAGTTTTTTCTTACTTCAGCACAGGCATTGTGCAACACAGGTGTTGTGTATAACACAAAATTGTTTATCATTTTGTGACAATTTCACAATTTTCCTATTTTGGAAACTAACTCACCTATTAAGCACAGCTGCTTTTAGAGTGTTATTTGATTCCTAGCACAGTTTTTTTCTATCTAACAATGGAAATAGGTGACCTGGCCTGATGAGTCACATTTTCTTTTACATCATGAGAATTGCCAGGGGTGCATGTGCGACGCTTACTTGGGGAAGTGATGGCACCAGGATGCACTATGGGAAGAGGGCAAACATCTTTCGTCAGCAAAACGGTAAAGTAAAAGGCTTTCCTCAGCAAACATAATGAAAAAGTCTTTCAATAAGATTGCACTGCGTAGTGCGTTTAGGTGATCTCACCAAGATAGAGTCCACTTGCTTCTGAGCAGCCCCACACACAGAGCTTTCTGTCTGACTCTAAGCTCCCCCACTCCTCTCTCACCTGTGTTGCTTTTTAACAGGAAGGGCTGTAGGGGAAGTACCTGCCCTCCCAAGTTAACCCCTTCTTTGCTCTCAGCCCTGCTGACTCTCCACATATCTCCCCCCCCCCCCCCCCTCTGTCCTTGGCCAGGGGCCTGGACAAAATGACAATAGACCCGGGAAAGGGCGTCTGCAATCTGATGTACTTTCCCTGGTCTATGCAATACTTTAAATTTAAAGTCTTGAAGGGCCAGGAACCATCTAGTGGATTCTGGAGTTCCTATCCTTGTTCTGTGCCATCCAAGTAAGAGGGGCATGGTCTGACACCAGCTTGAAGGATCGGCCCAACAGGTAGTATCGGAACGTCTCCAGAGCCCATTTGATGGCGAGACATTCTCTTTCCACCATGGAATAATTTATCTCGGCCGGAGTGATCTTCTGGCTCAAATATACAATAGGGTGTTCTTCACCCCCCAACCACCTGAGACAAAACCGCCCCCAGTCCCAGTTTTGAAGCATCAGTCTGGACCAAGAACTCCTCCTGAAAGTTCAGGGCTACGAGGACTGGTTCTTGGCACAACGCCTGCTTTAGCTTGCAAAACGCAGCTTCTGCCACCCCAGTCCTTTTGTGAGGTCTGTCAGAGGTGAGGCCAGGCTAGCAAAATTAGGAATAAATCTCCGGTAATATCCCACAATACCCAGAAAAGAACGCACCTGTTTTTTCGTAAGAGGACAGGGCCATTTTTGAATAGCCTCCACTTTGTTCAATTTTGTTGTAAGCCTTCCCATTGTGCTCCCTGCTATAAAGGCTGGTTATAGATTCATGCATGTACCATTTTTTCTAGTTTAATCAGTCCTCGACCTACCACATAACCCAAATAGCGGGCCTCTTCTAACCCAAGCGTACTTTTCTCCGGGTTTACTGTGAATCCTGCCTTTCGGAGGGCATCCAGGACTAACTGGACCTTTTGCAAATGACTCCCCCAGTCTCGGCTAAAGATGACGATGTCATCCAGGTAAGCTCCTGAGTACTCCTTATGGGATCTTAGGACTTGATCCATGGCCCTCTGAAAAGTGGCTGGGGCCCCATGCAACCCAAACAGCATTCTAACATACTGCCATAATCCTTCGGGGGTGGCAACCGCTGTTTTTTCTCTGGCTTCATCTGAAAGGGGAATCTGCCAGTAACCTTTGGTTAGGTCTAGGGTGGAAATGTAATGAGCAGGACCTAACCTCTCAATCAACTCATCTACTCGAGGCATGGGGTAAGCGTCTGGTAAGGAGGGTTCATTTAACTTCCGGAAGTCGTTACAAAACCTCCAGGTCCCATTAGGCTTGGGCACCAAGACTATAGGGCTCGACCAACTACTAATGGATTCCTCAATAATCCCCAGTTCTAGCATACTTTTCAATTCCGCCAAGACCACCTCTCGACAGGCTTCGGGAATACGGTAGGGTTTTTGGGTCACTCGAACACCAGGGTCTGTGTGAATATCATGTTTAACTACCCTGGTCAACCCCAGCAGACTTGAGAAAATCTCTCTATTCCTCTGCAAGAACTCCCAGGTTTCCTGTTTTTGGGCAGGTGAGAGGGTCTCTGCTATGCCTATTTTTTTGATCTGGGCATCAGGATCTCCCTGTCCTTCCTGCTTTACCATCAAAGCCTCGCTTTCCTTCTAGGGTTTAAGTAAGTTAACATGATACATTTGGTAGGGTTTTCTCTTGGAGGGCTGGAAAACCTTATAGTTAACCGTCCCTACTTTCTCAACAATCTCAAAAGGTCCCTGCCATTTTGCCAGAAACCTAGTTTCCACAGTGGGCACTAACACCGGCACCCGATCACCAGGTTGAAACTATCTAACCTTGGCAGACCGATTGTACAAGCGACTTTGAGTCGCCTGTGCAGCCTGCAACTGCTCCCTGACTATGGGCATTACATTCGCCATTCATCCTGCATTTGTGCGACATGCTCTACCACACTCCGATAGGGTGCGGTTTCTTGCTCCCAAGTCTCCTTAACTGTCTAGTAATCCACGGGGGTGTCTTCCATACACCATCTCAAATGGTGAGAACCCCGTGGATGCCTGGGGTACCTCTCATATGGCAAACAACAGATGGGGCAGTAAAAAATCCCAGTCACGGCCATCCTTCTCAACCAATTTCTTAAGCATCCCCTTTAGGGTTTTGTTAAACCGCTCCACTAAACCATCAGTTTGCGGATGATATACTGAAGTCCGCAAGTTTAATTCTGAACAGTTTGCACAGTTCTTTCATTATCTTAGACATGAAGGGCGTTCCTTGGTCAGTCAGGATCTCGGACGGGAGCCCTGTTCTCGTGAACATCTGAAACAACTCCCGTGCGATGATCTTGGAAGACATGTTCCTTAAGGGGACCGCTTCAGGATACCTGGTGGCATAGTTAAGGACTACTAAGATGTATTGGTGTCCCCTAGCTGACTTGACTAAGGGCCCGAGCAAGTCCATGGCTATGCGTTGAAATGGCACTTCAATAATCGGAAGCGGCACCAAAGGACTCAGAAAATGGGGTGTTGGGGCAGTTATTTGGCAGGTCGGACAAGACTCACAGAAGTCCTTAATTTCCCGGTACACTCCAGGCCAAAAAAAACGTTGTAGAACTGTTCCTGAGTCTTAACCGCCCCAAGATGACCCCCAAGCACATGAGCCAACTGTAGCACGGTGCGCCTAAAAGGCTTGGGTACCACCAGTTGTTCAATCACTTCATCATTCTCCTTTGTTACCTTGTACAGTAAATCAGCATTTACAGCAAAATGTGGGAACCGATCAGTCGCCCCAGGTTGCTGGGCTTCACCATTTAACACAGTGACCTGGTCTCTGGCAGGAATAAGAGGGGGGTCCCTTATCTGAGCACCCAGAAAATCTTCCCGGGAAACCTCTAGGTCACCGAGGTCTGGCTCAGGGGAAGAAGCCTCCACTTCTAGTCCTGCAAACACTTCTAAGGGACCCGGGTCAGACTCAGCAAGTACAGGCGTGTCATCCTCCTTTTTAGGGGAGGATTCAGAACCCTTTACCTTTTGTTCATACAAGTCCTAGAACAGGGGGAAGTCACGTCCAGGGTCATGGTGCAACCCCGGCATCATCCCAACTTTAAACAAAGCAGTTCCCACTGAGGTAGACAGGGTTACAAGAGCTACAGGGTAGTCTTTGACATCACCATGCACACAAATAACCCCCACATATTCTTTAGGGATCAGCTTTCCCTGCAATTCTGCTCTAAGCAGGGTTATGACACTTCCAGAGTCAAGGAGATCAACAACCTCCCTCCCGTTAATGTGCACCACTCTCTCATGCGGTTTTTCGCTGGTGGACACACAAGCTGCGTAGGCATACAGGGAGCGTCGCCGGCTCACATCACACTCCATTGGCTCCTCTCTCTTTGGACACTGGGTCGCCAGATGACCCAGTTGATGGCAGGTCCAGCAACGCATGTCACGGGGTCCTCTTTACAGGGGCAAGTTCCGGGGGGGGGTTAGATGCCGTGGTGCCTTTATTATTAATAGCCCGCACCCGAGCAGACACAGTGCGTATGTCGTGGACATCCTTGTCCCAGGGCGCGCCTCTCTGATTGGTGCAGCGTCCCCAGACAAACCCTCAGCACAGGTGTATCGCTCTACTGCTGTAGCCATCTCATCCAGGGTTTGGGGTTCTGTCTGGGTCACCCAACGATACAGTCCCTTGGGGAGGCCATGCACAAAGCGGTCCAGGGCAACCCGCTCCACAAGCTGCTGTGGGGAAAATTTATCTGGCTGTAACCAGTCCTTCAGGAGGTGCAGCAGGCAAACAACTGTGCACGGGCAGACTTGGCCTGGTCATAGCGCCAGGCATGGACCCGGCTCACCCTTAAAGTGACAGTCACCCCCATTCTGGCCAAAATCTCAGCTTTCAACTGCGTGTAAATGCATGCGGTTTCAGGGGCCAGATCAAAAAATGCTTGCTGGCACTCACATTAGGAAAGGGGCCAGTACATCTGCCGAGTCCACCTCAGACAGTCCTTCCCGTGTGGCCATTTGCTCAAAGAGGGAAGGATAAGCCTCCACACTGTCTGCTGGGGTCATCTTTTGCAGAGCCCGCTGCTCAGCCTTCCGAGGGTTATTTGGTGTTTCTCCAACCTCCTGGACCCTTCTGATTTGCTGCATAACTGTGGTTTGTAATGCTGAGATCTGGTCAGCCAGCAGGCGATTGGTCTTCTGTTGTGCTGCAACTGCCTGTGCACTGATCTCCTGTTGAGCCACTGTGGCTTGTACTAGGCGCTTAACCAGCTCCTCCATTTCTTTTCCTGGTGTTTGCAACGCTTGTGCAGTCTTTACCCAGGATATCCGACTGGCGTGTACCCCTCAAAGTGCCCGCATTATCCACCAATTGTGGGGAACCCCAGGGGTACACATGCGTCTTCAACACAGTCCGAAATAAATAAGCAGCTTTTATTTCATCCAGCGGTAACAGAACAAACAGCTTTCTTCGGCAAAACGGTAAAGTAAAAGGCTTTCCTCAGCAAACATCAAACATAACGAAAATGTCTTTCAATAAGATTGCACTGCGTAGTGCGTTTAGGTGATCTCACCAAGATAGAGTCTACTTGCTTCTGAGCAGCCCCACACACAGAGCTTTCTGTCTGACTCTCATCTTCCCCACTCCTTTCTCACCTGTGTTGCCTTTTAACAGGAAGGGCTGTAGGGGAAGTACCTGCCCTCCCAAGTTAACCCCTTCTTTGCTCTCAGCCCTGCTGACTCTCCACAATGCTATATGTAATATATAATAATTCTAGACCAAATATATATAGAATACAATATAAACACATGGGGGGGTTATCACAACTGAAGTAGACAAAATCTGGAGAAACTGTGTATGTATCTTTCTTCAGTTTGTTCAGTTAGGATTTGAAAATTAAAGAGAGAAGCTGATAAAAACTGTGGCTGCTGCAATTAAACATAAGCAAGCACAAGTACAGACCTGATAGAAACCATAGGTACGTATTTTACACTGATACAGACCATAGGTACATATTTTATATTAAGCTCAGAGGTTTTCAACTTAAACATAAAGAACCTGATCTATTTTCCACCAATCATCAATTAAATTAGAATTACATTCTCAAACTTTAATATTGAATCCAGATCAAACAAATATACATTGCCCAAATGTACATTTATGCCCAAGCACTTTCAGTCATCATGTTTCCACACAACTAGCTCCAACTTTCTCAGCTCAGCTTCCCTGAACATCCTGTCGGGTAGCAGGTCACAAGGGAGAGCACAGTCTCCAGCAACTTTACATCTACTAGCTTAGATAAGGGAGAAGGGATGAAGGAGGGGCAGGAAGGAGATGCAGTTAGAAGTGGAGTGGATTGCTTTGCTGTGTTTGTGGAGGCACAAACAACTTCCTCGTACACACAAATGGGTCTCCATAGGACCCTGCAAGGGAAAGGAGCCACCCTAAAACAGGATATCAGGGCCTGGTGGCGAACCTCACTGCTCGTAACTGAATTGCAATACACAGTAAGGTCTAAATCTCAAAAGAGGCTCCTCCCGTAGCTTACACAATATGACCGCAGAAACCAAAAATATTGAGTGTGTGTACACAATTATAGAAAAATATAATAATAATCAAAAAATATATATATATAGATATATCTATATATCTATATATATTATAAAATAAAAAGGATAAACAATACATTCTATATCACTATAGATTACATTTGTTTTCACTTTATAATTTTTTCATACATCTTAGAAACATAAATATTACATTATGGCAATAATGACACTTTTGTATTGTGAGAAAACAACTGGTATAAGCGAGAATGTTTCATTTAGCACCAAAGTTATTATCAAAAAATGAATGGTGATTTTTAAAATGAGCATAATGAGATAAAAATAAAATACAAAAAGACATGTAAGAAAAAAATTATCTTAGATAATGTTGACTTGTTGGCATTACTTGCTGCTATGCTGTTCCCTCCCCAGCTAATCATGACTCTGTGCTGGCACCCAGCACTTTAAATGTGGTCTGCCAGAGTAATGGCTGTGCACAGGCTGTGCTGTCTTTATGGGAAATGTTTGTGGTCTGGAACATGATATAAAAAGAACTGGAAGAGCTGATTACAAACCACATTGCAGACATATTGTAACCACTCACCACAAGGCAGCAGCAAAGAAAAAACAAGAGCTAGGGTATCCCACTAATACCTTGCAGTAAGTAGTAGAAAATGACCACTAAGATAGGTTTACCCTATTAAATACCGGATGTGCCATTGGATTACTGCCCAGGGGAACCACTCACATTTGCTTCTCTTTCAAGGGTCAACATTATTGTATCAGACTGCAGGATGTGAACATTCAGCTGCAGCAAAGGAAACAATTGTCAGATATTAGACTCTGAGGGGCACTGTGTATAGTTGGTTTCAGTGCTCTGTAACATACAAGCTTTTGGACATACCTATGATGCAGGTTCAGAGGTAGCCACACTGCGATGGTTAATACAAATTTTGACAAGAGTTCTTCTTTAAAGGATAAAAAATAAACCATATTAGTACAGTGCTGTAGCTTGGTTTGGCAAACATACGTTTGCAGGTATTTATAACTAGTGATGAGCTCGGGCGTGTTCGCAAGCGCCTCGTGCCGAGCCTGCCAGGAAGCCGTCAGCGCGCAGGGCCAATCACAGGCACTGAGCCATTTTCCGATCTCTGCAGCTGCGGACCGGGAACATGTCTCAGTGCCTGTGATTGGCGCTGCGCGCTGACGGCTTCCTGGCGGGCTCGGCACAAGGCGCTTGCGAACACGCCCAAGCTCATCACTATTTATAACCTCCCACAAAGATCACAGAGACTGATGAAATGCTTTCTCCTGGCTGCAGCAGACTGAGGACATCATCAAAGTCCGAGTTACTTAAAGATCAAAGAATGCTATTTAATGATAAAAGGATCAGCTTTAATGAAAAATGTTACTGTTGCTGTATAATGTGATATATTAGGAATGTATTAATGTAGACTTACAAGGATACTGAAAGGTTTACTTGCAGGCAGTGGCATATCTAGGGTGGTGTGGTGGGTGTGCTCTGCTCCAGGTACAACCACCAGCAGCAGCGTGCCTTGAGGGTGCAAGATAAGCTTATTCATATTTTGCAAAACAAAACACAGAGAGCGCCTCCATCATGTAAAAACTTTTATTACAACTAGATAAAAACAAGTGCAATGGTACTCACAAAAGTCGAGTTTAAACAGGCATGAAAAGGATCTTTACACGAGCAACTTAGCCAGCCGGCTGTACGTCCTCCCTGAGGCCCCATTCACACTGAGCGACAGAAAATGGCGCGATTTTCCGAGCGATTTTATATGAGCGATATTGAGCGACTTGTCGCGCGACTTTTTCCTATTGGGCTGTATGCAATCAGGAGCGAAATCGCTCGAAAAAAGGGTCATGTAGGAGCGACAAGCTACAGCGACGAGCTACAAGCGATATTGAGCGACGAGATGTGAACAGCTCCATTGAAATGGATTGGAGAGGCTACATTGAGCGATATCGCGTGGAAATATGAGCGATATTGCTGCAAAAATCGCTCGATAAAATCACTCAGTGTGAATGGGGCCTGATTTTTGATTGAAACATATACTTTATTAATGTAATAAAATATACAAAAACAAGCTATACAATCGGGGTACATTCAACCTCGTACTGCGACGCAGCGCATAAACACCACATAGCAATACAGCTCAATCACACAATAAATTACATTCGCACTGCGGCGAGATGCCTGACGTGTAGCGCAAGACAAGAGTCCTGAGCCCTCCACGTCATTCATGACACACGCATTACCCCGTACTGAGTCTGTGGTCCGTAGGATCCACATCAAATGCCTTCAACTAAATAAACTTCAATAAACCTTGCGGCGCAATGTCTGACGTGCGGAACTCGAGGTTCCTCACGTCCTACATGGCACCGCGACAACACATCAAGCATAAGCACTAACCCACAACAAAGCAACAGGTGTGATGGGGGAGAGGGAAGAGGGTTAGGGGAGGGGGAAAGAGTTCACAGGCCCAAAGCTTTATTGAAGGACAAGAGACACAAAAAGGAGGGGGGGGGAAGGGGAAATCTTCTCAGACGTCCTCTTCCTCCTTAAAGTCCATGAGGTGATAGTCTCTGAGCAGACTGATAATCAGTCTGCGGCAGTCCTCAGTGGACATCCTCTCCCTCCGGAGGGTGAGGCGCTTCCTTGCGCACCAAATAGCGTCCTTGAAGCAACACATCACCCGCCAGGCGCCTCCGATTTCGTCTTCTGTAAAAGCGCCACAAAACAGTCCATACATCACACCAAAGTGAGTAATCGCTGTCAGCGGCACAAAGTCTTTGAGTTCGTGTTCCAGAGCCCTCAACAGGGCCTGTGCAACAGGGCAATGCCAGAAGAGATGCAAAGCGGTCTCTTCCTCGGTGATGCAAAAGGGACAATGCCTGTGTCTGCACAGGTTTCTGGTGTGCATAAAAGTCCTGACGGGCAACCCTCCCTGGATAGCCATCCACGCCAGATCTTTGTGCCTGTTGGTGAGTCTCTTAGATGAAACACTCCTCCAGACAAATTTGCAAGTGTCTAGAGGGAGGCCTGGAACAATCTCAACAGTGTCCTTAGCTCTCATGAGCTTGTAAATAGTCTTTGGCTTCCACAAGTCCGGTTTGACTCCATGCAGTCCATGCTCCCTGATGAACTTGAAAGTGTCCAAGTAAAACCAAGGAGTGTCCCAGTTGTAGGGGACCGAACTGTCCCATTTGTCCCATCCCAGGGTCCTCCAAAGAGGCAGGAGGAAAAAACGGGACATGGAGTTCCCGGCAGAGTCCAAAGTCTTTTCAATCAAAGTCCTGCGGATGCAGTTACAACCAAAGAAAACCCTCAGCATGGTGGCAATGTCCGGCACTCCCTTTCCACCCTTGAGGGGCTCTTTGAACATAACCGCCCGCTTCACTATGTCCATCTTGGAGCCCCAGATGGAGTGGAACACCGCCCTGGTGATGGCCTTGCAGGTGTTGACCCGGGGGGGCCAGGCCTGGGCGAGGTACTGCAACACAGGGAGAATCTCGCTGTGGAGTACCAGTGACTTCCCTTCGATGGTGAGCTCTCTGAGGCTCCAGAGTCCAAATTTCTGACGCATCTTTGACAGTCTCTCCTCCCAGGACTTCAGGGCCGCGCCCTCAGCTCCAAACCAGACGCCCAAGATTTTTCCGCTTCACTCTGTCCATCTTGGAGCCCCAGATGAAGTGAAACACCGCCCTGGTGATGGCCTTGCAGGTGTTGACCCGGGGGGGCCAGGCCTGGGCGAGGTACTGCAACACAGGGAGAATCTCGCTGCGGAGTACCAGTGACTTCCCTTCGATGGTGAGCTCTCTGAGGCTCCAGAGTCCAAATTTCTGCCGCATCTTTGACAGTCTCTCCTCCCAGGACTTCAGGGCCGCGCCCTCAGCTCCAAACCAGACGCCCAGGATTTTGATGAAATCCACTCTGATGTGGAAGGGGATGGGCGCAGAAGAAGGCAGGTACCATTTTCCGAAGAGCATGGCTTCCTACTTCCCGCAGTTGACTTTTGCCCCCGAAGCTCGGCCGAAGTCTTCGCAGGTCTGGACGAGCACGTCGATGGAACGCTGGTCTGCGCATAACACCGTCACGTCGTCCATGTACAACGAACACTTGGCCTCCCGTCTGTCTGGACCCGGTGCGGTGATCCCTCTGATCTCTGGATTCCGTGTGATGCACTTGGCGAAGAGCTCTATACAACAAACAAAAAGAAGAGGTGAGAGAGGGCAGCCTTGTCTGACCCCGGAGAGGACAGGAAAGGGGTCAGTCTTCCAGCCGCTCACCAGCACCGAGCTGCGGATATTAAGGTTCATCAGGTTAACATACGAACAAAACATTTCCCCAAGGCCAAACCTATGCAGAACCTTGACCATAAAACCGTGCGAGACACGGTCAAAGGCCTTCTCCTGGTCAAGACTGACCAGGGCCGCGTGCACACGGCGGTCCTTGATGTACTGGACCGTATCCCGAACCAGCGCAAGGCTGTCCGCGATACGGCGACCAGGTACACCGCAAGTCTGATCCGGGTGGATGATCTGTCCGATGACAGCCTTCAGCCTGTTGGCCAGAACCTTGGCGAGGATTTTGTAGTCCACGTTCAAGAGAGAGATGGGACGCCAATTTTTCAAGTCACATCTCTCCCCCTTACGTTTATACAAAATCGTGATCATCCCCTCCCTCAGCGACGAAGGCATTCTGCCCTCCACCACCATCTCCTCGTACAGCTCCAGCAGGTCCGGGCCCACGAGGTCCCACAGCGCAACATAAAGTTCAGCTGGGAGACCATCGGAGCCCGGGGTCCTACCGAGCCTAAAGGATGTGACGGCAGAGTGCAGCTCCTCCAACGCCAAGGGAGAGTTAGGGGCCGACATACCTGCAGGATCAATAGTGTTAGTGATACCTGACAAGAACCTGTCGGCGGCCGTCTCGTCCGTGTCTTTCGGGGAGTAGAGGTTGGTGTAGTAGCCGCTGACCACTTCCATCACAGCCTCCTTCCCCTTCTGGAGTGTTCCGGTCTCGTCGCGAAGCTCAGACAAGGGGGTGTGTCCGGAGTGGAGTTTCCTGAAAAAGAAAGAGTTACATTTCTCACCTTTCTCAAGGTTCTCCACCTTGGAACGGAAGACAATTTGCCTGGATTCCTCCTCGAAGTGCGCTTTCATGCTCTTCTTGGTCTCCTCCAGGTCCTGCATCACGTCCCAGCCGCAGTGTTGAAGGTCCTGCAGGGACTGCAACTGACGTTGCAGTCTCCTGAGTTCCCTCCTCCTGGCACACACTCACTGGCGACCCCTTGCCTGAAAGAAGCTGCGCAGCTTGACTTTCATAAACTCCCACCACTTACCCACTTTTCCGAAGAGCGGTTTCTCCTCCTGCCAGGTGACGTACAGTTCTCTGAGTTCCCCCAGCAATTCCTCATCTTCCAGCAGGGTGCAATTCAACTTCCAGGAGCCCGGGCCGGGGGCAAAGCCCTCGCCCAGGTTTCCCCGGAAGTGAATAGCCCTGTGGTCAGAGAAAAAGCAGGGGACCATGGAGCGACCGACGTTCTTGACTGCCCGTGAGGTGAATGGGGCCTGATGGTTTACACGTTTCTGAGGACACGCCTCCTTCATCAGAATGGAGGCGCTCTCTGTGTTTTGTTTTGCAGTGCTGAGGTTTCCCTAAACCTAGTGAGAGCTGCCTCGTTAGCGTCTGTTTCCACGATCATTGAAGATTGTCCCCTTTCCTGGACTTTAGCCGCTGGCGTTATGTTATAAATTGTCTAAATCATATTTTGCCCAATGGTGCCTGTATAGTTTCAGCACCAGCATCACTCAGCAGAGTCCATAGAACCGATGGACAAATGGAAGAGCCTTTTGCATAACTTGTGGGAGGAAGAATGCCCTGAATGCAGTTTTCTTCCCACTAACCACCAATGTAAAGGGGAATTTTTCTCCCACTGACCAGCAATGTAAAGGACATTTTTATCAGTGACCACCAATGTGAAAATAATTTTGGTAATGGGGATTGTTTAATAATTAATTTGACCAGGATGTCCAATACGCTAGGTACACCACTGATTTCACATCAGATTATGCTATTGGCAGTTTTTCACAAAATTTGCACCACTAGAGCTGTGCTGATATGTATTGCAATCACAATACCTGATACACAATATACCACAATATACCAATACAACAGTGTTCACTACAACAGGCTAGCAGTTCTTACATGGAAGTTGAAAAAATAATGTCTTTAATTTGTAGCTCGGTGTAACCTTGTTCTAATTAAGATATCTATCAGTTTGTAGCGTGAGCCTGAATGTTTACTTTTGCAGCCCACTATTCACAAGTGAAGGCGCACCTTTTGACATTGTTCACTACAACAGTGTTCACTACAACAGGCTACCAGCTCCTGCCTGACATCAAAACATTTGTTTATCCCGTTTGTGAGTTTAGTGTGCTAAAACGCTAAAATGCACTAAAACTATGCGGTGCACTGCAACCAGAGCTGTCCCTATAATGAAGTCTCAGGTGGCATCCCAATGGGGCTGGCAGGGGGGTGACCCCAGTTTCCCAAGTTTCTAGAGCTCGTAGCAACCTGTGACATGCAGTCTGGCTTCCTCCCCAGCTCACTGACGTCACCGGTTCACAGGAGCTAAGTGGGACACTATGGCTGATATCCTGCACAGCTCCCGATGTCACTGAACTGGGAGAGATGCTAGATAGGGCTGCTGAACCCAGAGGTAATGAGCATCCACTGACCGGCAGACCGCAACCATTTACTGACAGTACCTCAAACAACCCCCACCCGAATGAGTGTTAAATTTCATTACCCCCCGTGACAATTCCCTGACAGCACAACACCCCCAAATAGTCTTGGCTGCAACACACCATTATTTTTATAATGCATTTCTGTGCTTTGTGCTAATGCAGGGGAAAAATGTTCCTTTCATGTGCGTTAATGCTAAATCTAGTGTTGATGCGCCTTTATGGTTTTATCACCTTTTTACCTTGCTCTAGTAGAGTATTGTACCATGTTAGCCATCAATTAGTGCAGAAAGTCTATCCTTTACTGCCTAATAAATAGTATCATTACATGTATAAAGCATGACAAAGGGATCTAAGGAATCCCAGAAGCTTGCATCTTTAATAACTTAAGTTAGCTATATTATGCCTTCTATTAGGTTTTGATTAGTTCAACTATGACCACCCGGCATAATTTAATGTATTACTGTATACAAATACCTGAGAAGAGTAATGCTTGTTTTCACTGTAATATATATAACTAGATATATATCTAGATATATATATAGGGTATATATCTATCTATATCTATCTATATATATAGATAGATAGATAGATATAGATAGATAGATAGATATAGATAGATAGATAGATAGATAGATAGATAGATATACCCTATATATAACAGTACCACAGGATGCAGCATCACCTGTGCCAGCACATAGTATTTTTATGTCATCTTACACTAAACACTCTTGAGATACACATAAACACACGTGGACAATCCACACAATGCAGAAACAGACTGCATATTTCCAAGTGGTACCTGGCACAGTCTCCTCTCCAGATTCCTCCAGTCTAAAATAACATCCCTGGAACATAACGGGATGAAAGAGAATCAGAGTCTTGTAGCATATCCTAATGCCCTGATTTATGATAAAAAATTTAAAAGAAATCATTTATATTTCATCGGGTCTAAATAGCTCCATGAAAGTTTTATCCAAAGTGGCACTGTATTTATAGTCAGCTCTCCTCCTGTGGAGGTAATTAATAGACAGATAATTTTCATGAATATCTTCCCAAAACTCTACATTACCATCTCAGTTGGTTTTTACTGTAAGCACAATGAAAAGAGAATGAGATACTGCCAAGGAAATAGTATTTGGCAATAGGCTAGCAGCAGGGAGCACAGCAGTTTCTTAACATGTCTGTGCCCAGAAGGGAAAACAAAGCTTATACAAAATGTGTCTTATGGAAAAGTTAACAATGATGACCGTCTAGGATTCTGTGTTGTAGATGCTAAGTGTGAAAGGATGGCATGATGTGAACAGCTTGTACAGGGTGTTCTACAGGAGCAGAACAGAGAAATGCAGCATGTTCTTTGCAATGCCAGTTCATCAAATTTATAGTATCACCTAAAATATGCATATAAATGTTTGTAGAATATTGTTTCCTGGTATGTCGATCAAATTTTAAAAATGGCATTAACTAAGTAAATGAATAAAAAAAAAAAAAAAGGCACATACCTTAATATTAGTAAAATACTACTGTATGACAATGATAATGATCATTGTTGTTCAGTTATTATTATTATTTGGTTACATAGTTGGCTAAGCTAAAAAAAAAAACATGTGTTTATAATGTTCAATCTTTCCCATAATACTATTAGATACTCTTATATACTTTTAGATACTATTAGATACTTTAAGGAGGTTAAAAAAAATCATATTAATAACAGCTCAGTTTCCTTCAAGTAAACAGGTTATGAGTGTAATACAATGGTAACCATTGCTGACCTCTTGAAATGCCTATTACCTGATGACTTTCCACCTTCAATATTTTCTGGCTGACCCAGAACAAT